CTAAAGCTGTGGATGTGTCCATTTGTGGCTTACGAGCACTCATGGGGTGGTTCTGTGTCTTAAGATCCCACGCTGTATGCAGTGGAAATCTCTTCGTTCAAGTGAAGTCTAACGTCCTTCAAGGCGGTACTAAATTGGATGGCAGTTCGTACGCCCGTCTTTTACGGGGCATGGGCGAGAAGTGTGGAATCTATGGATTGGCTGAGCACAGCGCGCGTAGAGGGGGAGCGGGGTACTACTACTACGTTCTGCGACGAGATTTGTTCTTTCTCTACAGGGCATTCTCATGGGAGAGCCTGACAGAAATGTTGAAATACGTGGGCTTGGAAGACGTTCACAACTCGTACGCCTTGCTTGGGTTTACTGCTTTTGGAACGAATGAGTTATTCTTTTCTATGCAACCCACGAATCATTAGAGAACTGTTTCCGATGGTGTTTACCTACCAAGTAAACCTAAATTTGTTTCAGGAGCGCACGATTCTATTCATGTATTTCGTAAAAAAGCACCTCTGTTTGTATTATTTCTGACAATCACAAATTGAACACAAATGGCAGTCCACCATTACGTCAGAGGTGCCTTTCTCTGTATATGAATGTAAATTTTGCGTTTGATGTTCATAATTTCAATTGAAAGCCTTGTATTTAGGACTACTCTAGCGGAAAAACGTCTAGAGAAGATTCGAGAAAGTTTTGAATGGAATTTCATCGCATACTGGTTGCTACAATCAGTTATTCAGAATCTGATGACTTCATGATTACACTTTGATCTTTAAACGTGATCGTACTTACACACGTAAGATGATTTTAACCCCTTGTAGTCCCGTTCTCTTCAAATGCAGGGCCTGATAGTTATGATGGCGAAAGAGTCTTCTTGCTTTGCTATCCGTAAGAACCTTTGACGTACTCTTCCATCATAAAACTGTAATGCAAATTTCACTGTGAAAGTAATATACTGTGAAGTTCGTGATTCAACTCATGAAATGTCATAGCGTACTGTGGAATCAAGAAAATGACAGTTATGATCTTGAAAGAGATCTTGACGACAAAATCTCAAAAGGCGTTGATTAAAGACAAAACTAACAATCACTTAGGCTTCTTTTGCCATTCAGCTGCAGACGGCTAGAACTCTCGTCCATGGTTGATATGTATCGCTGTGATGAGCTTAGAACAGTTCTTGCAAAACTCTACTCCTTATAGTTCCACACACGTAAAACTGATGGAGAATTTAAAGGAGACAGTAGTACTAATGTATCCTTAGATAATACCGCAGGGTGTATATATAATGCTATCGAGCATGACAAATTATGAAAATATTAACAGCTAAAGAAGACATGGTCTGATTAGACATGGTCCGATTGTGAAACGTTTAAGAGCATTTAAAAATAGAGCTAGCCATGGACGTATACGCATTGTGTTGCCAGTAAACGAAGGATTACACTGTGAAGACGATATGTTCCTCATAAATAGGTTCTTCTTTGCAGAACAGGTGGGCGTTCGATGAGGGTGGGTCTTCAAAAAACCTGAAGAAACGTGGGCCCTGCACACGTTGAGCCCTTCAAAGACGTTGGGCCCTCCGAAGACGTTGGGTTTTCGACAAAATGTGTGCTCATCGACGAGGTTGGGTCCTGCACAAGTTGGGCCCTTCAAAGAGGTTGGACCCTCCGAAGACGTTGGGTCTTCGACAGTTGGGTCATCGGCACAAAGTGTGCTCTTCGACAAGGGTGGGTCCTGCACAAGTTGGGCAGTCCGAAGAGGTTGGGACGTCCGAAGACGTTGGGTCTTAGACAATTGAGTCTTCGGCACAAAGCGTGTTTTTCAACGAGGTTGGGTCCCGCACAAGTTGGGCCATTCAAAGAGGTCGGGCCCTCCGAAGACGTTGGGTATTCGACAGTCCTTCGACACAAAAGGTGCTCTTTGACGAGGTCGGGTCCTGATGAAACGTTGGGTCGCATACAGGTTGGGACCTCTAAAGAGTTCGATAGTGTAGAAGCGTTGGGCTGACTACTTGGGACTCCCAAGAGGTTGGGTTGGGTCTTCGACACAAAGTGAGGCATTGGACGAGGTGGGTTCTTCAAGATACGTGAATAAATGATGGAACCTGCAAAAGTTGGGCCCTTTAAAGAGGTTGGGGCCTACGAAGAGGTTGGTTCCAGAATAAAGTGGACTCTTCGACGACGTTGGGTCCAGATAAAACGTTGGGTCGGGTACATAGGTTGGGCTCTCCGAAGACTTGGGGACTTCGACGCAAAGTATGCTCTTCGATATGGTTAGGTATTTGTGTAGTGTTATTTTCGGAGGTCTGGTTGGTTATTGTATGTTTGTCGTTTGTTTCCTAAAAGTTTCCAGCAGAATGCAAAAATGCATATGCAGGGTGCAATGGCGGTTTCAATGTAGTGTAGTATTGAGTCTAAGGATGTTTTGGGAATGGATCCTCCTTTTCTGACAATACTTTTACAGACATCCTGGCTTACATCTTCCTTTGCGTTATCGGGTGTCTGAGAGAGGTGGGAGTTTCACTTCGGGCGGTGGACTGTTTTAATTGAAAGTTAGGATTTATCATACCGGCGGCATCGCTGGGGGGTTTCCCGTCGTCAAAACGGTTGCCCGCATCGGAGATGCTCTCAGAACAGAATTCACATGAAGGCGCTTCTGCCACCTTTCGGCAGTTGCTGTAAGCGCTATTTCTGATGAACCGTTGACACCTTAGCCACGTGTCAAGCACCTGCATGCCCACCGACCCACAGAATCATCTTTACGAAATCGCTCATCCGCGCTGCCCAATCGCCCGGCCTCTTCGCCCCTCCTGTCGATTGAGAGCCAGACTGACCGTTGCGCCCCGCCTGCTTCGCATTGCCAAGCAGCCCCAACTTCCACGGCGTGCTGCCCGCCTCCTTGCTGGCCAACCCCCTCCCTTCGCGCATCCCTTCGCGCACGCTTCGCGCATCCCCTCTCGCGCCCCCTTGCGCAAAACCCCATCCGCATCCCCCCTCCATCGCCGCCCGCGCAATGGGCTCCAACTTCAAGCTCGCCATGACGCTGCCGTCGCTGCCGCGGCAGTGCCCGGTGCGCGCGCTGCGCTCCGCGCCGCCGTCGTTACCGTCGCCGCCGCCGTCTCCGCCGCCGCGCGCGCCGCCGCCGCCGCGCCTGCCGCCCGACGAGGACGTGGTCGACGTGCTGCTGCGCGACGCCCGCTTCACGCCGCACCTGGTCGCGGCGGCGTCGGACGACCACCTGCTGCCGCTGCTGCCGCTGCTGCTGGCGTCGCCGGCGCTGCCGACGTTGCTGCCGCCGCTGCGCGAGCGCCTGCACGCCAGCCGCATGCTCAAGCTCCGCTTCCTGCTGCTGCGCGCGCACCCCGCCTTCCAGCTCGTCGAGTGCACGCGCCGCTTCGCGTCGTGGGCCTACGCCAACCGCCCGAAGCGGAAGGACGCCCAGCGCCGCCTGGCCCAGCGCAAGTGCGCCCCGGAGTGCGCGCAGGGCGACCGCGACGCGCGCAACACCGTGGCCCTGGTCGTCGACATGGTCGACCTGCAGAGCGAGGAGTTCTTCCGCAACGACGTCTTCACCCAGGCCGCCGCCGCCGCCCCGCCCTCCTCCTTCGGCCACACCATGGTCTCGCACGTCTTCCCCGTCCCGGACGACGTCGAGCTCGAGTCGCGCCCGTCCTCGGGCTCGCCGCACAGCTGCAGCTCGACCGCGGCCGTGTCGTGCGAGCTCGTGCAGCGCGCCCACCTCACGCAGGGCCGCCTGCACCCATTGCTCGAGCTGCGCCAGATATGCCCCGTCGCGAACCGCCTCGAGCGCGAGCACACGGAGGTCGTGCTCCCGACGGTCGCCGTCAGGAGCGCAGACGCACTGCGACACGTCGCGCTGCAGACTCTGATGCGCGTCTTCAACGCCGCGTGGGCGCGTCCGAGTCGCCAGTTTGCCGACGCCGCGTCCGCGCCGTACTGCTCCGTGGTGGATACAGCCATCGTGGGCAAGGAGAGGATGCTCGAGGCCGCCGGCGGGAAGACCATCCTGCTGGAGGACTTCAAGTTTGACTACTGGAGGTACACCAGGGGGCAGGACCCCGTGCTGGCAGACTCGTTTGTGAGGAGCGCGGCCGGCACCTTCACGGCCGCGTACGTGCTGGGGCTGGCTAAGAGCGGCGGCGATATTGCTGTCGTGGATGGCAGGGAGGTCTACTTGTGGCAGATGAGAGGCGCGTTTGAGTACGTGCCGCAGATGGTGAGGCTGGTCGTGCCAAAGCAGATGAAGGACGCGTTCGAGGCGCTGGGCGTCATGGATGCGTTTCGGGATACTTGTATGAGGGCGTTTGCCGTGATTAGGGATAGTCATGCAGAGGTGTTTGAGGTCGTGTTTGACTTGCTTAAGATGGCTGGGTTTAGTAAGACCAAGGTTATGCAGTACTGCGCGAGTAAGAATAACCTCAACCTCGGCGAGGATCGTATGGTCGCTAATATGCATTTTCGAAAGTGGATTGGATAGCTGTCTGTGTCTTTCGGACGAATGTACAAGTCGTTTCCGATTTCGGCCGGGTCTTCTTGAAGAGAGGTGGAGACGAGGAAAAGGAGCGACGGAAGATGGGGATGGGAGTTGTACTGTATTTTGATGGAAGTGTCAGGCTCTCATTTCTACTCAATAAAGTTTCTATTATAAAGAATGAAAATTTGAATATTTTCGGCTTTGCTTGCCGTTTTTTCGAAACAATACACGTGTCAACGTTGCCCTAAAGCAATGGGGCTCACCGCCGCGCCGCCAAATCGCCCGCGTGCCGGCCATCCCCAGTGCCCCAATCGGCTACTGCCGGTCGGCGTCCCCGCCACAGCCCCACCCACAGCCCTCGCGAAGCCTCATTCATCGACGACGCCGCCTCGCCTGCCAATACACTCCCCATCCGCTCCATCCCCTCCCGCACCGCGCCTCTCCGCGTCTTCGCCCTTGCACCTGACGCACTCAGCGCTCGCGGAGAGAGTATTCCCTGTCACACCGCCACCATGGTCGCCTCCACCGAAATTACCCCCCGCCAGGAGGACATCTCAAAGATGCTCAAGTGCAACACCCATTTGGGCACCAAGAACTGCGATGTCCTCATGGAACCTTATGTCTTCAAGCGCCGCTTTGACGGTAAGTGCGACTGCCCCACCGTCCATTGCGCCGCCGATTGATCCCGATGCGAGCTCGCCCTCATCTCCTGCCCACTCGGCCTGCTAACTAGTCCACTGCCTCTTCCCTCGCGCGTATTGCATCCCGTTGCAATTTGCCCCTCGCCCGCGTCGCGCTCGAATCTCTCGTCCCGTGTAGGTGTCCACCTGATCAACATCGCGACGACGTTCGACAAGATCAAGCTTGCAGCGCGCGTGATCGCGGCGATCGACAACCCGCATGACGTGGTCGCCGTGTCGGCGCGTCCGTATGGCCAGCGCGCCGTCCTCAAGTTTTCGCAGTACACGAGCTGCCAAGCAATCGCGGGGCGCTGGACGCCGGGCCAGCTGACCAACCAGATCCAGAAGAAGTTCCAGGAGCCGCGTCTGCTTGTCGTCACCGACCCGCGCACCGACTCGCAAGCCATCACCGAGGCGTCGTACTGCAACATCCCAACCATCGCCTTCTGCGACACAGACTCCCCGCTGCGCTACGTCGACATCGCCATCCCGGCAAACAACAAGGCCAAGCATTCCGTCGCCCTCCTCTGGTGGTTGCTTGCCCGGGAGGTCCTCTACCTTCGTGGCACTATCCCTCGGTCCTCCCCATGGGACGTCATGGTCGATCTCTTCTTCTACCGCGATCCCGAGGAGCTCGACAAGGCCGAGGAGGCCGCCAACGCCGTCGCTGGTGCCGCCCCTCTTGGTGTCGCCCCGGCTACCGCATATGACACCACTGCTCTTGGTGATGCCGCCGGCTTCGTGCCCGCTGGCGCCGACGCCGACTGGAGTGCCGCTCCGGTTGGTGCCGCAGAGTACGACCCCACCGCCGCGCCCGCGGCACAGGTCGAGAACTGGAGTGCTAGCGCCCCCGCCCCGGCCTTACCATTGCCGCCAGCCGTCGAGGGAGACTGGGAGATGCCAGCCCCACAAGCCCCGCCCGCTCCGACCTCTGAGTTCCCGCCGCAGCAGCAATACTAGTCATGGTCTTCTGTGTACGTTGGAGTCGCGTCTTCTGCAATATAGATAAACTGTTATCTATTTGATATTGGCGCAAATTGTAGCTGTGGTTGGACTACTTCGGTCGGTAACGACCGCTGGGATGGGTCTCATTGACTGGTCAAATGGGATCTGGAGGAGGAACGTGGAGAGGAGTTGTTCATTCGCCTTTGGAACAACTGGATAATTGTAGACAGCCGTCCGGCCATAGTCTTTGAGTGATAGTTTTCGGCCTACATATGTCTGGCTCACAAGGTGGAGAGTGGTCAACAAAACTAAATTCTTGGAAAGTGCAAACTACTCGCTTCGAAAATCTCTTTTCAGCAACTCACTTTCCTCGCTCGTACTGTAGCAATGATACAGAGAAAAATCCCCCTCGAGTGACTCCACACTATAGCAGTGACCCTGTACGTCTTAGTGACCCGTTGACATCGCTCAGGCCGCCGCCTATAGCTGTTCAACCCTCACAGAATGAACAACTGCACGTCCATACTATGACCCCTCCTACTGCAGTCATTCCCACAGCCAATGCGGCCTACAACAGTTGGGGTCGCTGTGGGGCCATTTTTTCTCTGCACTGTAGCGACTCTCGTGGTTGTCAGGGCCGTCTTTTAGTAGTTGTTAAGAATAGCACATGTTCCATCGCATTGGACACTGCTTTTGCTGGCAATACCGAGAAAGTGAACCAGCTCTTGAGCACGAAGCAAGCTAATGAAGGTATAACGCGATTTCAATGCATATGTAGTACCCTCAAAACACAAGACGCCAACTGCCAAAGTAGCAGTTGGCGTCTTGTGTTTTGAGTGCTTCAGCTCAACAACGTTTCTGTGCGCGGTTGGCACATGCAAGTCCTTCTTATACGATAGTGCAACATTCGACTTCCAGGGTTTCTACTGCATTGATGACAATACCAGCAGCTTTCTTTTTATAAGAGGTCCGGTCCGGTAATGATTCGTTGAAGTGTTCGCCGGGAAATGTTGAATGTAGTGGAGCTCTCGCAACATCCGTTCGCGTGAGCTTGCGAAATGGCATCTATGCCATGATATGTCCATGATTGCATACGACAGGAGCATAGATGCGTAGGATTAACAAAAGTACAGCCCCGTTGCTAGCGTCTCCGTAGAGGCGCTGCAAACCTGGGCCGGGCGTTTGCAGCTTGACTAAATAGCGGGATAAAATGCGCAAATAGGTGTACATGCATGTATAGGTACAGCATTTATATATATCGCAGGCCGACACATTCAACGTTAAAACAAGTTAGGATGACAAGCGAGAACATTCGAAGCGTTTCGCAAGCAGAGTTTGATATTCGATGCCAAGTCCTTTTATATGAATGTGACGCCTGGGATGCAGTAGGCGAGGCAAGTCACCTGTATTGGACATCCTGACGAAGGCGTTGAATGTTTTTCTTCGCGCCGACACACTGCTCTCTCAGTTTTGGGATTTATTCCCTCTCTTGGTGTCGGCTCCCAAGGCGGCTCTGCATTCATGTCTCTATAAAAATCATATCCATTGGTATGTTTCGCTGAAAGCGAGTGCTGTCTACAGCACTACCTACATAGGTCGTGTGGAGGGATGACCAAGAGAGGGAATAAATCCCAAAACTGAGAGAGTACTGTACAGTACCTGGACAGTATCTGCGGTGACTCAATTTTACAACGTAGGGGGCAACAATGCAATCAACCGTCCATCACCAAAAAAAAAGTCACCCCTCTATCGACACAGACAACCTTCTCCGTTGCAGACAGTCTCACGGCCTCCTTCGGGAAAGCTCCTCTTTCACACCGCCGCACCGCAACCCTAACTGTTGTTGTCTTCCCAATCTCAGCCGAGCAGAGTGCCAACTCCCATCCCCAACCCCAACGCCATTCCTTGCGCACCACAATGCCCAACTTTCACCCGCCCCAGCCCCCTTCAAACCAGCCCTCGTCCGTGCAGAACAGCAACCTGGACGCCTACATCCTATCGGGGCTTTTCTTCTACTCGGCAGCCTTCGCTCTCGTCCACCGCTACCTCTACATTTTCTCATTCCTCTCCTTTACCGTCCTGCTGCTCAACGGCGCGTACCTTAACACCCCGCGACATCTTCCCTCTCTCCTCCTCTCGCTCTTCCCTGTTCTTCTCCCTTTTTACCGTCTTCACGCAGCGAAAGCAATCCACATCACCATCAACTGGCTGCCCAAAGCCCCGCTCTTCATCATCGAATTGGTTCTTGGAATCGTAATAGTCGGCAACCTCATCCGCTATGCGATTTACAAACCCTTCTTTAAGAGCCCGGAGGAGAACAGGAGATACGTTGCCCCCATTTCCCCACAAGACGCTGTACCGACACAGGAAGTCCGGCAAGAGTGGCAAGAGGCGGCTCGCACGCTGCAAGTGCAACAAGCGGATGATGCGGCCGGCGCATGCGGTACGTCAACTGGGGCGCAGAAGGAAGGCGAAGGCCCCGAGCAAACCCCCGGCGGCGATTCCGAGTTTCCGGTCGATCAAGACTCATCGACGAAGACCAAAGCAGAAGCGCCAAACCGCACGTCGGTCGAGCAGGCTCAAGCGGCGGCACAAACGGTGTTGCAAGCGAAGACGCCTTCCCCGAAACCGAAGCCGCGCCGCCGGATCAGGCTGACGAAAAGCCAAATCCTGGCGGCGCGAATCATGCGGGAGCGGGACGCGGAGGCGGCGGCGCGGCGCGACAGGGAGCAGCGCGAGCGCAACACGCGGCGGCTGCGGGAGGAGCAGGCGCGGACGGAGCGCGAGGCGCGGCACGCGGAACGCAAGCGGCTGCAGGAGGCCGTGCGGGAGGCGACCAAGGGCGTCGCTGATGCCAAGGATGCGCTGAAGGCGAAGAGCTTGGACGCGGACAAGGCGAGAGAGGAGAGGAGGAGGGCCGCGGATCAGCTCAACCTCGCGCCCGGGGAGGAGAATGAGAAGGTGCTCGATGAGGCTTGTCGGGAGTCGGCACGAGTGGAGATGGAGGAACAGAGGGCACTCGACGATGTTAACGCGGCGCAGGCTAGGTTGATCGACCTGAGGGGTCAGCTGAACGTGCACCACATGGTGTAGAAGGGATGGCGCATTTTGGGCGAGAATTGGGGCTGCTTGCGGACGGTTTGAGGTGGTTTGAAGAGGGAATTCTTCGCTTTACCCAACCTGAGGGAGGTGTTGACCCTGTAGGGGTGATGAATGTCTGTGAAGACATCTGCAGTAGTGAACAGGCAGCTAGGCAGTAACTCACCACACTGGCCCTCACATAAAATGAATGCAGTTGTGTGTGCGTTCATCAGGTGAACATGCCCTTAGTGAAGGAGTGAAATTTGCGTATGCTTCAGCCCTTTTCGTTCTGAGTAGCGGCCATGAGGGCGAAGAAAAGCATTCGGAACGAGAAAGACTGATTGACTTCATGGCTGATGTTGACCCTTAAGGTGTGATCAGGTGATGACGTCATACGGAAGGATGGTTGGCGAAAAGAATCGATACACATGGACACGTTTCTGCTTGGCAAGGATCACAAGGTTACTATTCCTTCTAACGCTAGTACGCAGAACAACAGTAAAGAGAACGTAGCGATCGTCGTCGACAAGCTCAACGATGTCATCGAATCCATCAGCAGGATGAAGTTATTGTGTCGAAGAGGAAGCGATCCCCGCAAGTAATTTCAGTTCTATTCGTCTTGTCGCCGTTGAGCAGTTTGAGACAACGACGCTCATGTGTTGCTGCATTATGTTTCAGAGTAGCACACCCTCCAAGCAATGCACGCACACCAATCGAGCTCGACCCTTTCACCAAAGCGCGGCTGTCGCAATCGTAAGAATGCGAAGCGTGAGTAGCCGCAACAGCGACAATCACTCCGGAATCACCTGTGCAAAAACCTTACTGGTGGGCATGTAGTTATACGTCTGCGCAAACAGCCCCTTCCTCTTCTCCAGCGTCTTCCGACACTCGCTCTCGAGCCGCTTGAGCGTCGCACGCACGACGGCATCTTCGGGGCACAACTCTGCGGCTTTTCTCATATCACTGAGTGCCCTGACGAACATATCCATCTCCACCCCTGCCAGCGCGCGTCGGTAAAGCGCCTTTCCATTGTGCGGGTCGATCTCCAGGACGGCGTCGCACTGCACGACGGCGGCGGTCCACTCGCTAGTGCGCAGCGCGCACAGCGCGAGGTTATTCCTCAGACGCACCTGCATGTGGGCGTCGCCGCCCGCGAGACGCACGGCGTCCAGCGCGCGGTTGTACACCAGCATGGCGGCCTTGAAGTTGCGGAAGTCGTCGCTGGCCTTCGCGAAGAGGGCGTTGGCGTCCTGGCGCAGCGCCTCGGCGCTGGCGAGCAGGTCCGCGCGGCTGGCGGGGTGCGGGAGATCCGTCAGGGGGGGCGTGACGCGCTCCACGCGGACGGTCTGTGAAGCGCCCGATGGGGAGACAGCCGACGCCGTGTCGCCCGGGAGAAGGCCCTGCACGGCGGCATCTAGATGAGGGAGCGCTTGCGAGGCGCCCACAATGAAACAGAGAGAATGTGTGGTGGAGGCGGTGGTTACGGTGACTAAGGGGGGGGGGGGGGGGGGGGGTCAGCGCCGCACGCCCATACGGTCCGCCGTCGAGCCCTGGTCGGGCTCCGGCGTCTAGCCGATCGGCCCATGCGGTACACCCGTGGCGAAGCCAACGCGGCGAGGCTTCGCGGGCCACCGAGTTGGCCGAGCCCGCGTTCGCGCGGATTAATTCGTCCGATGCGGTGCGCGTGCCCACGGCGTACAGTGCGCGACCCAAAGTCCTCGCCGCCGCCCCCGCCGGGCTGGACGGGGGCCGACACTGTCGCCCGGGCGGTTCTTCACGGCCCCAGCT